GACATCCAGCCAATATCAGCTGGCCGCTATCAGTGCGTTGCGTCCAATGGACATCCACCATCAGCTTCAAAATACATCCAGGTTCTCCTTAGCCCATTCTAGACAGGATAAATATTGGAACAACTCCTATCTTTTTCATAAGCGTAAATGATAAGGTTGGTATTTAATTGTAGAGCAATATCAATTTAAATGAAATCCCACTGTCTCTGTTCGCATTTAAAAATACAAGGCATACATCGTCTATTCTTTCCGCGTATTAAGAATATTAGGTTGATTCATTTCCCGGCTTAAGAATATAATGATAACATATATTCGTTAAAGTAAGGGCTACTACATTTTTTTTCAGGCTTTCATCACGGTGATTGACATACTAACTTTGGAATTCTGAGTCAACATTTAAAATTTACTTGCTCATTTTTTTTTCAAAAATGCAAACCGTACTTGTGAACAATGTTTTATTAGACTATTTTTTATCTACTTTTTCTGCTTAAAGTTTTTTTCTTTATCATACCTGGAAAATTATACAAAACATCAATGAAAAAAAAAATAATAGACATTGTAATCTTTTGACTCTATACATTTAGTTAGAAACGTGATTGTTACACTAGTTTTAACGGTATATCAGAATTAAACCCAATCTCTATCATGAAAGTTTAGAGTGAGGAACGTCTTCAAAAGGTGTAGGAAAGTGTTTTATTTAATTCAATTAGACAAGTTCCCATATTTGATAACATGAATTCTATGAAGTGAATTCAAAAATGCCAACCATCATCTGAGACTACGTTATCATGCCTCTGCCAATCATCGATCATCAGCTTATTATTCTATACATAACATTACCCAACAATAGAATTTACGAAAAAGTTGTGACCTAACAACAAAATTGACCTTCTATATTATCTAAAAGACGGGAGATACAATATCTTTCCAATTATCAGTAATGCGTTAATTTTGAAGTGTATCGAAGTTAAAAAGTCGCTTTTGAGTACATATGAACGTTTATTCCTACGTAATATTGCGTGCTTTGACCGTACTGACTGTTTTATTAAAATTTTTTATTAATTTATACTATTTGCTCCTCAACTGTATAAAATTCTTAAAATGTTGAAAACGTACTAATATATTCGATCGTTAATAAAACGTTAATACTTCTTCTTTCCGCTCTTTTAGGAGGACGTTGATAAAAACGCTATCCATGCAGGACGTTACAAAATAAATGCGTCTTTCCGAACGTGTATATCTTGAAAACGCTCTAAAATACCTATAAGTCAATCTAAAAAAAAAGATCAGTACTCACTGCAGTGAGTGACAGAGAGCGCATTTTCTCGTCGACGAAAACGCGAAGTCACGGACGGACGGACAGACAGACGGACGGATGGACGGACATGACGAGCACAATAGCGCCTTTTTTCCCTGAATGAGAAAATGCTCTAAATGCGTTAAGAGGAAATATTTTGCAGGTTGGTGTCCGGTTCTCGCCGATAGTGAAAGGGCCCGGGGCAGAAGACGTGGCTGAGCTTGGGGGCCGATACACGTTCAGTTGCTTATATGCAGCTCATCCGCGGCCTGATATTTTTATCATAAGGTTATTTTGAGAGAAATTTCAAATTATAGCATATGTGATATATTTGTGTAGCATTTATTTCATACATTCCGATTATCCTAATGTCAAACTCTATTGAGTGATAATGATCAAAACGTAGCTTCCTTAGATCACAAAAAATTAACATTTATCGGGGGTTGAATTCTGTGCAAGCACTTCATATATAATGTTTTTTTGGTCATATATGAAAGGAAAAAATATCCTCCCTGTTAATTTTAAAAAGTATTTAATTCCAGACATGATTTTCATCAAGTCCTCTATTGCTCCTAAAATCCCATGAATTGGTGACTATAGGCATGGAAACACAAGGACTGAAAACAAATTGAGCATAACAAATATAAATAATATAAATGAGTTAATATGCTTTTAAGAAATTACTCATGATTTGATCTAATAATCAATTAGGTCACATCGATTTTGATTTAATTTTGACGTGCCCGTGTGTTTACGACAGGTCTAACGACCTGGGAGAGCAGACTTTGACCCAGGAGTACTTCAGAGTGGTGTCTGTCGCTGACCAAGAGCCGTACACGTGAGTATTAGCCACTACATCCCTGTATTTAATGACAATCCCATGGATATCCGAGTAGGAATTTCGTAGGAATAACACAAATCAACGGCCCCGAAGATGAAAGTTTTCTGTAAATTTACGTAATTGGTTCGATTATTGGTTCATTAACTGTATTTGCGAGCATTAGCTCGAATGAATTTGTGAATGTCGTGATGGTGCCTGCATGTAGTTGTTCATCATCACTATACATTTTATGAATGTGTTAATAATGCAGAATTTAATGAGGAAAACTACGGCTATCGCATATTGCATGCTGATGCCTGATGATTGATGCCATGATGTCAAAACTAATTAATGATTGCATGCCTTTAAATGACGTCGTACTGTGCGACGAGTATTTTTCATACAATTTATGTTATGGTGAAGCTGACATGCCATTACATTAATCAAGGTTACCCGGAAACTTCATGTGCTAAGAGTACGTGGTCATCACATGAAGGATAAATAAGTGTCATGAAGTAAAGGCAGGTAATGGCAGAGCATCCAGAGAAGTTACTGCTCTTCGGATGGCGCATCCCGAACAAATGTTTGCTTTTAAGACGGGCTGTTGCTGATGGAGATGTTGTGGCTGTTCGCCGCCAGATTCATCAAAGAATAAAGGAAAAATTGTTAGCTGAATAAAATGACCGCATGTTGTATTTGTATCGAGATCCAGAACTAAATTTATTTGTCAATAAGGCGATATTTTGATACATGATTATTGAATCGTGAATATACTAGATAAATGGACATTTCCAAGTCTATTTTAACTACAATATATACACTGATGTGCACGTACGCTGTCTATGCAATCATTTCTCTAATTTTGAGCCGCTTGAATCCGTAGAACTGAGCATAATATATTTTTTCTCAAAGTTATTCAAAATTAATAAGAATTGCTATGTTGCTATGTAGTGTTGTTTTTTGTGCATGTTGATGTATGTGAATTGCGTGGTGAATTGCGTGATGAATTGCGTGGTGAACTTCTAGGAGCACTACTTCTTCTACATACAATTGAAAATATCTAACTATAACTTATACCAAAATAAAAGAACCTTCTTTTTTCTAAACGTGTAGAAATGTTCTGTTTTCGAAATAAATTAGGGGGATTTTTTTTCCTCATACATTTGAGGCTTACGTTGAAATACACAATGAAGAAAAATAATCAGTATTCTTTTACAAACCCTGTATTTATTAAGAAATATTGAACCTAGTTAAGTTGATTAAGATGATTTCTTTTGGATTTTTCTTTGATTTGCAGGATGATACCTATTGAAATTTTTTTAATTTATTGATGATCAATTTATTTTACAATCTAATGTCACTTGCACCAATATATTTCATGAAAAAGTCGTATTTCCTATGTATTTGTTTGAATTGCTTATATTACGCAGCTTGCTAATCAATATAAATCGTTTATATAATAATAACTTTCACCGTTGAAAAAACTGCTCAATAGTCGTGAAAATATTAGTTTTTAAAATTAAACGTTTGTAATTCACGTTAACATGTAAATCAGCTTCAAATTATTTTCCTAAATTAGCTTATTCTTTTTGAAGTTTCGGTGGAATTTTGAAGTATGCGTGGATTACTCGCGCTCGAGGCAGTCATGGGATACCGCTCAGCACGCCACGATTCGCTATCGACTTACGATATCGGCTGATGTAAGCCCGATGCCAGCAAGTGCTCTCATAGAAAATCTTCGCTAATAGAGACCAGAAAGAGAGGAGTTTGCGTGTTATTTTGATCCAGCTGACAAATAATGACCTATAATTTCAACTCATGAAATTCAATCACCAGTTTCTCCTTGATTTCAGATTAATGCTGACTAGTGTGCTTGCGTGCGTGAACGCATATACGAATGATGGGGATAAATTCGATCACAATTATAAATGTCGGCATTCTTTGCTTTGAATTTATTATATTCTATGAGGCATTTAGTGCTAAAAAATAATGCTGGTGATAAAAATACAACGTTATTAAAATCAAAGATACGTCCTAACACTTGGTGAAGCAATTTTTAATTAATAACAAGCTAGTTCACAAATTGATAGCCTTTAACATTTATTATATAGTAAGCATTAGTTTTAGATGGCAGAATTTGTTGATTTATACGCGTGCGATTAACGACCTGAGAAATAGTTGATTTAAATTATCAAAGAGTCGGACAATTCTTCAGATGGCGTTGGTAGATCGAAAGGAAGTAGTTTTAGTTTATTAACGACGTTTCGAATGTAACAAACATTCATTTTCAAGTTACAAAGAGCATTAAATATTAAAATTCTGGTGGAAATACGTACATAACATATGTAAATAGGATACTATAGTAAAATTTTGAATCAAAAAATCACTCTGAAAATCATTTCAAAGTTCAGCCAAATCCTGTAGTTAAGAAAGAGGTAGCAGGCGTCCAATTCGTAGAGACGATGAGGCTAGCCATCTTCGGTCGATTGATGTCAACTCATTAAATCAACTATTTCTCAGGTCGTTAATCGCACGCGTATATAGTAAGCGTGTATTATTATTTGGGTCCACTTATTTTCTAGCCCAATTAGAAATAAGAATTTTTCCATAAATCATCCATAGCGAGTAAAATTGTATAAGTGCAAAGGTACATCATCCTGATTTTCGCAGGCACGAGATGTTCTTGGAAATGACTCGCTTAGAAGCCGCGGACTTCGGCGTCTACAGCTGCCTTGTCAACAACAGCGAAGGCTTGGCCATCAGCGAGACTTTGCTAAAAGGTTTGCAAAGAATAACAAGGTTCGACTATTGAGTCCTGAGAGCGTGTGCTGGTGCAGACACACCCCACAAAAAAGTATCATTTGCCTAATGCAGGATCCCTTGTTTTCATTTATTCCACTGAGAGAAAATATCCGTTGCTTTAGCTCTATTGCACGACCGCGCCAAAAATACAGCGGCGTGTAAATAGTTTCAAACAGGAATTCTAACGTGCAAAACTTTCCCTGAAAGAGACATACCGTCTTCATTGATTGAGAGTACCAATAAATCCCTTCAAATAAACAAAATAACTAATTAAAATTAAATTGCTAATTTTGTGCCTGTATTGAACGGAATAATAGAGGGTGAATTTGTAGTAGTTGTAAATAAAGGAATTAAAGCATCGGTGGTCAATCAAAGAATACTCGCATGCATTCAAACGCACATGAGAGACGCACCTATTGCCATTCGCCTATTAAAGATGTGTTTATTCATAAGTTCAAACGCTTATTAAATAGTTAGCTTTTATGAAAAAGTCTTATTTAATCAAGTCAGTTGTTAAAGATTATAAAATACAATTAACACTTGACAAAATACTGAGATTTTAAAAACACGTTATGAGGATTCATCTAATCAAACATGCAGTACACGAGCAGCCATGGGGACCAAATCTATTTAAAGTAACAGAAAGGAATCGACAGAGCAACTTTTGATGCCTTGATTGTTCGATAATTTTCACAATTTTTTATTACCTCAAAGTTCAATTTAGTCATGCGACTCAAAATTCTCTCAAACAAAGACAATTTATTAGATTCGGAACTAATAAATTGTCTAGAACTAAATATCGAGCAGTTAAAAGTTAATGGTTTGGTTTAGGTAACACTGCCTACTATCACATGCGAATCGATTAATTTATCAAGAAGCAAATATTTAAGTAGAAGACCAAATCAAATTGAACCATGCACTCAAATATTAGTATTAGGGATAATGAACATGCGGAACTGGATGTACTTACAAACTGAATGAACTTACAAATTGATATCGTTTATTTCCAGCATTTTCTTATTATATGTAATTTTGGTTTATCTCGATTTCCTTTCCCAATCCTGCCCTGTCCTAAACAAAAACAATTCCCTCTATATGAACCTGCTTTATATATTACAAGAGCCTTTACAAGAAGCCTTTACAGCCTTACACGGCTGTAAAGGCAGCCTTTACAAGAAAAGGCAGCCTTTACAAGAAAAAGGCTATAAGTTTCACTGTAATTGGTCTGATGGTAAAATTTCTTTCGCATTAGAGAAACGGTCCCGTATTTGTATGATTAATTATATATCTTGGGGCTCCTAATCTGAACTGTGCCTGTAGATAGTCCGAGTATATTTGTTTGCTATCTCGGTGCCTGCGCACTGAAATCACTTAGCACGTTATGAAATGGATGACGTGAACATTTTCGAGAAATTTGTACTCACAAGTTACATGTGAGTGTGACCCACATACAATTATTCTAAATCAAATTATACATTCTATTAAAAAATATAACTCAGTACTCACTGCAGTGAGTGACAGTGAGCGCATTTTCTCGTCGACGACCATGTGAAGTCACGGATGGACAGAAAGACGGACAGACAGATGGACAAACGGACAGACAGACGGACGGACATGGCGAGCACAATCGCGCATTTTTTCCATTTATGAGAAAATGCGCTAAAAATGTAAAAAAATATTTGAAAATTTGAATGTAGTAAGGCTGTTTCCAGCCACGTAGTTACCTAAAAATTTCTTGGACTAAATTAGTTCACGTTATTAGCCTTTTTCCACAAGATGCGATAGGTAAATTCATGATCAATTAAAGAGATGTAGTCACTAAAGCAGTCCGTGCTGCTATACCTCAATCCATTGACTAGATTTTCAGATTTGAACGCGGTGTTTTCATTTCAAAATTAACTTCTACATTCATTTTTTTGTTCCAACTCAAGTTACGTTTTAACAAATGTTTCAGCATGATAATTGATGAAAAAATGAATGATTTCAATCATGCCTAACAATGAAAATGTAGTAAAATGATAATAAAACGACAAAAATTTCCTTGGCAGAATCCCTAGTCACCGAAAAATTTTCAATTTTACGGTAGTCAAGTTATCAGAATCGTCATTCTTCGTATGAATTTTTAGTTGACAATATTTCTATCGTGCCAGCAAAAGAAAAGGCGACAACTGAAGTGTCACAGGAGATAGCGGCAACAACTGCAGGAGACACGCTGCTGGTACGCGGTCCGCACCTGTTGCTTCACAGAGACAACCTCACCGTGCCGC